GGTTTTCTTCTGATTAAAAGAATCACGCTTCAACTGATGTCTTAACGTTTAATGTCTTCTTTTCAAAGAGTATAAGTATCGGCGTCATCGTCATCTTGATCCTATTTCGACATCACTTGAATATCGTGACACCCTTTGGATATCAACATCTTGACATCTTTACATCATGACACCGTGAAAAACTGAAACAAATAAAATTACCTTCAGATACATAACCTGTGAGTGTGTTTCTGTTTTTACCGCAGTTTAACCAAGTCTGCTTCTTACTGAACCAATATCAATACACACAGTACATTAACTTTGCAAATTAACAGATGAAATCCAAAGAATAAACAACATACCGTGTGCGCCTTCTAATCAGAAATCCAGGAGACATTAGAGGACATTTATGTAGGCATTCCTTCTAACAAATAATCTTACAATCGATCAGCTCTTAGCATTTGTGCATTTCTTTGTGGATCTGATACTCACATGGCTAGATCACGTGACAAATTCAACTAACGTTACACATATTTCACCTGCAGGTGTCACTATTACCCAGTATTTATAATACTCAAATACAATTTCCAAATGAACATTCATAATACATTACACACCATTTGTGAACTAAATACCTTTTCACAAAATAAATGACTGAAATACTTAAAAGAAAATACAACCTTTTCTGCGACAGCTACAATTATTTTAGTACATCAAGTTAAACTAGTTAACACAAAATAAGTTAATAAAAAGTAATAAATAATAAATATTTTATTGTATTTTATTTCAGTTAACATTTATTTCAAATAACAAAAAAAATCATTCTTTTTTTTTTTTATGGGATGTAGTTTTAGTTAACTATAACAACCCAGGTGCTGTAAATATTTTTTTTTTCAGCCACTTTTATTGCAGACTCTTTAGGTTTAAGATGGCTTGCAGTAAAATACTGCAGTTTGAGCATCAATACAAATCAGGGCTAAACATTCCCAGAGATCCAGAATCAAATGAAAAATCAGGCCGAACGGAGCAAGAACGCCCTCGAAACCCCAATCAGAGGATATTTACAGGTGCTGCAGGTAAAACAGCGTTCTGCTGAGGCGCGTGCTTACTTGCAGGCACTTTCTTCTCAAACTGTTTACCTGCTCTGTCACACTCGGCCTGCTAATTAATGACTCATTTTCGAATCATTTATCTAAGAGCTGCTGGCGAAGGGAGAAAAAGCAAATCACCGTGGAAAAAAAAGCAAGCAATCAGCGCAATGAGGAAACTAACAGCCCTCCTCGTTCGCCACATCGCTCTCGTCTCTCAGCATCCATCTCTCTCTCCTGTCCTCCGCCACTCGCACGGCACCATGGGAAAGAGTGCCGGCTAATCACGGGCCTGCGAGAGCGAGGACAAGGAGGGTGGTGGGGGAGGAAGAGGGGCTGCAGGGGCGTCTAATTAAACTCAAAGCTTGATTACGAAGGTGATTATCTTCACAACGCGGCGTCTCAATCAGAGGCTGAGAGGAGGGCACCGCACTCACCTGGTTGGCCTTCTCCAGGTTCGCCATTAGCGCACCCATCTCCTCCACTCTGGAAGACACAAACCACACGTTAAACATCAAACCGCCATCACGTTTAACACTCACAAGCAATTACACACAGATTCATGCTGCTGATAAAATGCACAGAGTGTCATGTTTAGTTGGGAACTTGTTCTGAAATTAGTTTGTCAAGAGACACGATGCACAAAGGAATAAATAACAATAATTCTAGCATTTAGACAAGTAGTTAACTATATTAAGTTTGCTTATGTTAACTAGCATAGCTATTAGCTAGTTAACATAATCTTGATGCAGGGATGATGAATAAAAATAAATAAATAAATAAAAACAAAACAAAACAGATTTCAGCTAGTTTAATAATCCATGTATCATTCGATCATTCGTTTTTTGATTTAATATTGAAAGTAGAAAAATGAGAAAACGGCTCCTTTTTCGTTTTTTTTCCAAAACACGAAAAATGTTCGTTTTCGGTAGAAAAATTAATAAACAGCATGAATATTTGATTTCTACACGTGGGCGGGAATTAAATGCCCCTTTTTGATGATTGGTCAGCCGAAGATCAAACCGTGCCGTCATCAGTTCTTCCGCAGTATCACGCAGCAGAATAATAGTCCTCCACTGCTGCAGTTGTACGGATTAATAACCCATTTTATTGCAACTACATTTCATATTTTTCTCATCAAACAGACTAATGAATAGCTCGACACAACTCGTACCGGGGCAGAGTCTAGACAGTTCTTTCTTCTGTGTAGACCAGCAGTTCTTAAAGTGATAGGGGGTCCGCAAATAATTTGCTATAGCCTAAAGTATTTCCAGACTGTAAAGTTGCTTTTTTTATCATGATACATAGGCCTACTGTGATTTATTCCAAAGTGACTTATATGATGCATTTAACGTCAAATAAATGAATGAAGCCTTTTAAAAGATGAGTATTCCCTGTGGTTCATGTTTGTGGCATGCGCCAGAAAGATGCTCAAGGAGACCGAGACGCGCTAAAGCAGCGCATTCTGTTGTTCTCTTTATTTTTCAAAGGCATAATTATTTCTCGGACCCCCTATCACTTTAAGAACCACTGGTCTACACAGAAGAAAGCCCTGTCTAGAC